AGAGGAATTAAGAAACATAAGGAAAATATATTCGAACAATCCATGACCTTGGCTGGGAAAAACAGAGGAATTAAGAAACATAAGGAAAATATATTCGAACAATCCATGACCTTGGCTGGGAAAAAACAGAGGAATTAAGAAACATAAGGAAAATATATTCGAACAATTCATGACCTTGGCTGGGAAAAACAGAGGAATTAAGAAACATAAGGAAAATATATTCGAACAATCCATGACCTTGACTGGGAAAAAACAGAGGAATTAAGAAACATAAGGAAAATATATTCGAACAATCCATGACCTTGACTGGGATAAAATAGAGTGCATGCCGATAGAAAATGGGCTTCACAAAAACAGAATGAAGAGTAATCAACAATGCATCACACCGGATTTATTGAACGAATTGATCCTAACTGAAGTCCTACCAGGATTTAATAATCCTGAAGAATTTAGCACTCACAGGACATATTGAATGGCAAAAGTGGCAGAAGAAAACAGAAAGAAAGCTATTTACCGAGTTTGTATGAAGGAACAGCAGAATAAGAACAAAGATGGATGGTAATGGTTCCACAGTTATTTAGAGTAAAAAAGAAAAAGACACACATGAATTTGGGGAGAGCCGTGACTGCTCCTATCCTAAAATTTCATGGCACATAAAATAATAATTATCAAGTTAAGAATCCTCTTTCTCTTTGCTTTGAGATTTACCTGTAGATGAAGGTATGCTTTCTTATCCAAATATCAAGAGAAAAAAAAACTCCAACGCATTTCTAAGATTTACTCAACGTAGCTTAGATGTAGCACAAGGCCGAACGTATGGAACGTCAAGTGAGGATCGAACTCACTACTCAGTATTAGCTGATCTAGCGAGACATACTTGTAAACCATTACACCAAACTTACCTTAATTCCTGACCACTGGCAATCCCTTTCTTTCTGATTTTCAATGCATTTTCTATAGTAAAATCAATCGCAATAAATTTACATTATAAATTTTAATACGTTCGTTCTATGGCGTTACTTCCAGTGACAATACCTTACTTCTAGATATTTTCAATGCCTTTCTATAGTAAAATCATTAGCGATGTATTTGTCTGATGCAACATAACACCTCTCTTCTACTTGTAACTATGGCATTAATTCTTCTCCAGCGACAGTTTCTTCTATATTTCCAATGCATTTCTATAGTAAAATAATCATCATCTGTCTATATCTCTGAGATGAGGTATTATGATTACTTACATTATTTACATTATTTGGTCTGTTATCTTCACCTTCATTGCCATATTAAAGGGCAATAATTAAACAAAGGGTTCAGTTCGAAATTCCAATCACCTGAAGAAGGTCGGGACGTACAACAGCCGAAACGTTGTGAAAATGGCAATGAAGATGAGGATAACAATCCGAATAATGTATATAAGTAAAATAATCAGCAATCAATGCATGATACATATAACAATCCCATTCTATCAGTAATGCATGAATTACTTACTCATGACAATCTTTTTCATTCTGATTTTCAATGTATTTCTGTAGAAAAATCGTTTTAAATTTCTTTATAGAATACTTTTATTTACAACTCAGTTACTTTACATTCTGGGCATCAACTGGTCCGATCGTTCACCAGTGTTCACACCCATGCCCAGTCATCCAGGCTATACGCCCTTCTCCAACAGGTCCGGATCCGCTGGCTTGAACATTAACACCGTATGCCGGATGAGACGATTCCGAAGATTCTTCTGTACGGGGAACTGGCCACCAGAAAGAGGCTCACGAGATCACCTCATTGGTTGCATATGGATTCCAGAATATCACATCGTGTAAGACGGCTGTGGACTCGACAAGAAGGTTCATCCGCCCATTGAAAGGTTTTGTTTTTAATCCCGTTGGTTGTATAGCTTCTCACCATAGAAGTGGTGGACTGTTTTGGTCGCCAATGACCCGATAATGCGGCAGGTAGTACTGGGTTATTTGTAGTGTGACTTAATATGTGGTTATTTTCGAAGAAATAGTCTACATTATAGAAAATAATTCCAGGTGTTAGTCGTATTAATGAACTTCTTATTTTAAAGATAATTTCTGTAATTTTAAAATTAATTTAAAAAAAATAATCACTATCATCAGACAATTGAACGCATTTGTTTTATTTAAACTGTGTCCTTTCAGAACCTTGACAATCATGGCTCTCCACAATTTCCGTTTCTTTATTATCTGTGAATTGTCATGGCATCTTAGGAATGATATGGAATAGTTTCCCGTTGTCTTCTCTACGGTTTTGAATTCACAATTTTCCTTCTCCTAGACTGACTGCCAAGCAAGGATAGAAATCCTTGTCTACCCTGCAATTTAAACAGTAGCTCAAGAAATACATTAATTTATTTCCTAACGGCACTTGCGAGAAAATGAATGTACTCAGACTCGACTTGAACTGAAACTTGACTTGTCGATTCAATCTTCTGCAATTTTGAAAATAATATCTTTCAAATGTTTTTCGGACTATCTTTGCTTCTTTTTGCTGTCACTTCATTCTTCTGTGTACAATCCGTATAGAATCAGTTTGAAAAATCTCGTTTTTACAGGTAATATCTACCAATATTCCTTTTTAGATTTGAAAATGAGAAAAATAGACATTAAAAAATGGTGGCTGACCAAATCAGTTAGACCTATTTATACAGTATATCATCTGACTGGCGATTCCATATTTCCCATAAGAGAATCTTATCCAAGAAGTGGAAAAGTTTGATGTGGCAGATGACATGTGGGGGAAGAAGGGATTATCTCTACGATAAGTTGCGGGTAATAAAGAGTTAATAGAGACAGGTTACAAAAGTTGAAAGAAGCTGCGTATACTAGTATTGAGGAGAATTATATAAATGAGTCCAGTGTGGATTTCAAAGTGGTATGGATATTTGTTTTTACTTAGCGCGGAATGAAATGAAAGAGAGACCCCAGATATAAAATATGGAGCAATCTATATCGCAAGGAAGATAGTGTGGAAATCAACTAAATAGATTTATCTCAATTGTTCTTCATGTTTTCAACGATGAGATGTCATCGTTGAAAACATGAAGAACAATGGAGGTAAAAAGCAAAAACAAAATAAAACGCGATAAAGACGCCACACGGATTGTATGTCTGGAGAAAAACGAAGCATATACCAGTAGAAGCACAGTGTTCAAAAAAAAAAAAGAAAAAAAGATTATATTTTGGAGAGAATATATTTTGGAGAGAAATATTTTGCCTTATGAAACATCTGTTTCCATTAGAAGCAGCTAATTTCTCTCCATTCTTGGAAAATCCATTTTCTTCAAACAGAAATATTTTTCTGTAATTGAAAATCTGTTTAATGTAATCTGAACTTTTCAACGCAAATTCACTTTGTCAAACGAAAGATGACAGCTCGAATAAATAATGAAATAAAGTTGAAAACAGCCGGTGTTGTGTTACTTTCTCTCTTCTTGCGTTGGCAAAACATCGTTTTCTTACCAGATTTTGAAGGAAGACAGAATTAACTTATTGTACGATGACAGTCCGGCAGTTAAGTGACCATGATTATCACGCCTGGAATATCGTATGGCGTGAGCACTAGAATCTGGAACAAATCTACGTTATTTCGATATTCACGATTGTAAATCAGTGATAGATAAGCAGACTTTATTGAATTTACAGATGGGAAATCAGTTTTATCAGTTTAGGTCGAGAGAGAGACTCGGAGGACGCGCAGCAGTAAATAACTTTGAAGAGTAGCAAGGAAATAAAATGGAATAAAAAAAACACACGCTGCAACAAGGAAGATGCTATTTTTCCATAAGAAACAAGAAAGAAAAAAAAAGCACAAAAAACTATTATTTAAATTTTATGATTTAGTAAAACATTTGAAGAACTCTATTATGAACGCAAGGGCTTCTAAATACCAGCAATTAAACTTGTTATGAACATTAGAAAAATAAATATGGAATGTTTTTCATTATCTCAAATAACAAAAAAAAAAGGAAGAAAGCGAGAGTGAGTGAGAGCAAGAGAGACATACAGACAGAAAGAGAGAGACAGAGAAAGAAAGTGAGAGAGGGGGTTTAATCTAAATACATTTATACTAAAATGTTCACCCAATAGAAGACTCAAGAGCCACTCAAGATAGAGGATTACTGAACGAGGTCTTGTAAAGAAAAGTATTATTATTCCAAATTCTTGTCAACATTTTCTATATATGCTTAAGTCCTTCCCAGCTATCACTTTCCATTCGAAGGATGAAACAACCAAACGCTTAGGTTAGTTTGACAAATGGTCATGCATTCAAGATCGCTAACCTGGTTTTGCTAGTATAGGTTGCTAATCTACAGAAAGAGGCATTTGAAATTTTCTACCACATTTTGATGAAACTGCGCCTAGACAACCTGACACTCACAGGAAGACGAGAATAAATAGCAGATCACAGACAAAAAGTTACAGTAAAGCGGAAGAATTTACTTTGAGCAACAGAAAACAGGTATTTTTAGAGAGTCATGATCGCCCACATGCTGACGAGGCTTGGCACATAATAGAAGAATATTACCTTCAGTATAAGGGAGTGTATTCTGTCGATTAGTAACCTATACTTGCAAAGCAGGTTAGCGCTTTTGAATGCATGACCATTTGACAAACTAACCTAAGCGTTTTGTTGTTTCATGTAACTGTAGTTGATGTAATAAAAGATTCACTTAGACTGGAAGGTGATAGTTAGACATGACTTAATAATAAATAGTAAATACTAACAAGAATTTGGAATAATAATACTTCACATGCAATTGTGTGTATTTTTGTGACGTTATTCTGAAACAAGGCCATAAGTCGAGGGCACTACGTGTACCTCAAGCTTATTGAAACTAGTTGACTAATACTTATTCCATAGCAGGGGCCCAGGAATCATAGTTATTGTGAAGAGGTTCACAAATAGGAAGCACCCTGTGATAATCACGCGCATATAAAAGATTATCTTGATAGTTAGTACTATCCTATAGTCACATAAGAATGCTTGAACGTAGGCTCTTGAAAAGCGAAGTTCAGGCTGATGCAGTGTTCCAAATGAGGGTTACTGTAGTAATGATTGCAAGAATTTTGAACTATAACGCCAGAAAAAGAAGAAGAAGAAGAAGAAGAAGAAGAAGAAGAAGAAGGAGGAGGAGGAGGAGGAGGGGAAGAAGAAGAAGAAGAAGAAGGAGGAGGAGGAGAAAAAGAACCGGGCATACAAAATGATTGATAGTTTAGCTTGTTTTTTTTTTACGGTATATCAATACCTCAATGGGTTATTTAATGCCGAAAACATTTTTATTGCTGGTAATATGTTGTTTTTTTTTTCCAAAAATATATTGTTGGTAATATTTTTTGTTTAAAAATGTATTGCTGGTAATAATTGTTCCAGAAAAGCATTGCTGGTATTAAAACCTATTTTTATACTTTCATAGTGTTTTCATCCCCTTTGGAGGGTTAACTATTTTCCCATAGCTGGGACCCTGACAGGTGCTACCACCTCGGGTGGACCTGGGAATAACAGCAATTAAGAGGTGGTTCCACGACCCTCAAAGCCTTCTGATCAGAGGCCTTGCTGTCGGATGTAGTTTATCGTCTTACCCAGGAATGGGATGTAGTTTATCGTCTTACCCGGGACGCAGATGTAGTTTAAGACGGACGAAGCGATTGAGTTATTAATCTTTGCCTCTGTTTAAAATGAAGCTTTCTTTTGATGATATATTCCTTTAGATATCGTTTGTGCATTATCTGTTAAATTTACAGGCATCCCTTGGATAGATAGAGGTGTCGTTACCTATTACCGTCTGTACCGTTTGGTAATAAGCTTATACTGGTCCCCACCCAAGTCTATATTCCTCAGTCTTCTCTGATAGTATACCCATAATTTGGTGGGTAAGAGCAGATTCATGTTTTTCCCAGGGGCATGTGTGTGAAAGTGAGCGAAACGGACTAGTTTGGATTAGAATTCGGCCACAAATCCCCCTTTGTAGGACGATAACCATCACACCGCACACATATTCTTCCCAGTTTATTTTTTTTTTATCAAATTTAATTATTTTCACACAAAATTATTTTTTAGAGTTTTTCCGTAAAAACTTAATTTCCTTACAATATAAAACTAATTAAAAATTATGGTGACACTATACTTGAGGAAATTATTCTTTAATTTTTGTAATTGATTTAAATGTTATATTTTGTTACTTAATCCTGGGTATGACGATAAACTACATCCGCGTCCTGGGTATGACGATTAACTACATCCGATAAGGTGGTTTTGTGAGCGTGGAACCACCTCTTAATTGTTGGTGTTCCCAGATCCAACCTGACCCCTGTCCCGGCTCGGTGCAAATAGTTAACTCAAAACATTATTGAAATATAAAAATAGGTTTAACAAATCAAACCAAACCAATTATAAAAATGCATTTAAAATCAAATACATTTTATAAGTACACAGCAAAGTATTTTCCCAGTTTCTCTAAATAAAGGCAATATTATATTATGACTTAATAATAAATAGTAAATACTAACAAGAATTTGGAATAATAATATTTCACATGCAATTGTGTGTATTTTTGTGACGTTATTCTGACACAATGCCATAAGCAGGCCATATACTAGCAGTAGAGCCCGGCGTTGCCCGGGGATGTAACAGTAAGAGATAGATCAAGTTTCGACCATCGTAAAGACTGAAAAATAAAATTGACAAAGATTATTGTTTAACGTTGACGGACACGCATGTCTTAATTATTTATTTTTTTTTTTTTTTACGAATTGGTCAAACCCAAACTCAAACAAAAACATTGTTTTCAATCATTATGAGTCTACCGATGGAATAGAATTTTATTATAAACAATTGCCTTGTAAATGGAATTTTTAAAGCATTCTGAATGTAAAAATAAAGAAAAAAGTGTGCAAGACAATAAGAAACACTACCTGCCAAAAAAAAAGTGAAGTTTTGTTGAAATCAGTTTGAAAATGTAGGAAATCCGATCCAATATATAAACGTACAGACACACACACACACACACACAATCTGCGTTTTATAATAAGTAAGATATATATATATATATATATATATATATATATATATTACTCTAAATAAAGGCAATACACACACACACACACACACTATATATATATATATATATATATATATATATATATATATATATATATATATATGGAATTTGTAGGTCTGATGAATTGGATTGTATTTACGATTCCAATGGAATAAATTATGACCATGGAATATTAGTGTTTAAGCGTTTTTATTATATATATATATATATATATATATATATATATATATATATATATATATATATATATATATATATATAAAAAAAGGAGTGTTTAAGCCTTTTATTATATCCTTACTCTGTCCTAGACATTGAGTTCTACCTGGATTCTTCCTCTTGAATTTTTTTCTGAAAATATACATGTATGGGTATTTATATATTTTGCATACGTATGTATATTTCCACTGATATTATATATATATATATATATATATATATATATATATATATATATATATATATATATATAAATATATATATATTTAAAATATGGCAATTTAATTTAGTTTTAAATAATCGGCTTCATTGATAGTCTTAATATTCTTTAACGTTTTAAGTTGTGCTGAAGAGAAAAACATTAACCGCATTCAAATTTAGATACTTTTTTCAGCAGTGTTAACGTTTTTTCTTATAAATGAAGTATTTTTCTGCTATTTTTCCCTTGTAACTGTCATGGTGGATAAAACCGTTGGATGGGGAAGCTGTAAGCGTCGAAAATCAAACGCAAGAAAAGTAAATTTAAATAAATCAAAACGAAGAAGTCATAGGTGTTTGATTAAGTAATCGACTTGGCAAATCTCTTATAAGCCAAATCATCTTCCATCGACGTATTTGGCGGCTTCTGCTATCAAATCTTTCTTTTGCGAATGTCGACAAAATTAGACAGAGTGGAAAAAGAGAGAGAGGAAAAAAAGAAAATTTTAATCGTAGTTTTAAATGTGATTTTCATCTTCTCTTCAAGTTTTCAGAAACGATTAAGTAAGGAAAATAAATTAAAAATTGATATGATGGAAGATTTGAAAAAAATATCTGAACACTTTAACTTATTTGACTATAAAAAGAAAAAAAAAACTCAGATTAATCTACTGATATCAATTTAAAAAGCGGACTTCTTTTTTCCATCATGAGATCATTTTGCTTAAAGTTCGAATTTTTTTCATTTCTGATGAAAGCTTGGAAATTTCTTAATATATTTCAGTGAAACTTTCACTTCCTAAAATTATAGTTTATAATTATAGTTTTGATATATGGAAAAAAAAGAAGGCGTCATTATTTACTGCCGTCAGGAAGCTATGATTTAAACTGACGCCTAATTTTTTTTCCAAATATTGTGACTATTTTGCTCAAAGGTCGTATTTTTTTTTTTTTATTTCTGATGGAAATTTGGAAAATTTTCAACATATTTCATTGAAATATTTACTTTCCAAAAATGACAGATTATAGTTTATATGTATGAATTTAAACATGTTCATTATAAAAATCTGACAAAGATTAACAACTCAGTCGCTTTTTTATGAATACTCTTTTCTTTTCTTCAGAAATTTCGTCTAAGGTCATGCAAACGTTTTTACAGAAAGGTGTTCGATCCTCACTTGGGTCATTGTATCAGTCTAAAGTTAGTTTTTTTTAGATACCTATGTTTAAGCATTCCAATGTGCCTCAGGTTAAGTACTCTTTATTCATATAGGAGTATATGATAGCTTCACTTTTAGTTAAAGCGCACAGACTACTCTATAAATATAGACTATAAAATGATTTTGTATCAGAAATGCCGCAACAATGGATTACTGAAGATTTCTGTCTTCAGAAATCTTCAGAGTTTATTCTTTATTCTAGTTCCTATACGAAAAACGGCCATTTTGTGGAACATATTCCTGTGTGATTACTTTCTTGAACACTTCAGTCTTGACATCTCCAGGTTAAAAGTCAATCGTTATCTTTTCTCCGTATTCTGATAATCTTCACCCTCTACCCTTTCTCTCCTATTCATATAACACGTCATTTCTCATTACTATTTTAACTGTAACCCTCTACCTTGAGTGACTCTTACGCCTTGCATCTGTTGAAATTTAGTAAAAATAATAATGTTCACCTACCGCCCTGGTCATACTCCTCGTCTTTTGAACAAGTGTAGAGGTTTTCCTGTTTTGAATTGGGTTTGCGGTTCCTTCTAAAGTTTTCTCGTTCTCTTTCACTCCGATTAAACCCTTGCGTCTTAGTGGCGTTATTGCCTTGCTTGGGGTGAAATGATTATAAAAAGAAAAACGAAAAGGAATATCTGGAAATAAAAAAGTTTTATTTAAAATCATATTTCACTATTCGCAATGGACAGAGTACACACTCTTTTACGGTGGGGTTCACTTTGCACAAGGTTCGATTCCAACTCGAGGTGGAGAGTTACAGAGTAAAAAGCACAATTGCGGATATGTTAGGAAAATATTAGGTTGGTGCAAAAATAATGACGTAATAATGTCGTTTTTTGACGTTAAAAATACGTCAAAAAACGACATTATGACATCATTATTTTTGCACCAACCTAATAACTTAGACTTAAACAGTTTAAGATTATCGTGATCGGGAAAATATCTTCTGTGGGGTTTGGTTTCACAAAGCAGTGGTTCGAAGGAAGATGCTGTTCGTCCAATTCTTATAGTAAAGAAAATCACCCTGATCCGTCCTTATAAGTCAGTGATAATTAACTTTTATCAAATAACATGAAATCTTTCTTTAACTTTTAAAAGTTGCCATTAACTGTTTGACCTTCAAGTTTCTATGGCCACGTTTTCCATGCCAATGATAAGAGCGCTACTTTTCGTATATTTTAAAACGTTTAGCTTCCATTTTGATGAAAGCAATTCATTCTGACGTAAAGAATAAAATCCAATCAGTTTGCTGTTTTATCGAGCGGAAGTGTGGTCCAATGAAGCTGAGTGGATTACGATGACAGGCAGAAGTGTTGCATTCAATCACTGACATCAGCTGTCAATAATGCGGCGTAATTGGAACGTATTAGTTCATTGCTATCATTAAACTTGCTTCTCTTTTTTTTTCTTTGCATTTCTTACTCTTGTGTCTCTTTACTCTCTTGGTCTCGTCTGCTTTTGTTTTTTTTCACTCTCTCTAAAATATATAAGAGCA